CCCCTGCAGGGCGGAGCTCCGAGGTGGGGTGCGGCCTCGCGACCCCCGCCCCCGGCCGTGCTGTAGGGACCGGATGAGTGCGAGCAGGCACCGAGCGGTCCATCCACCTCTCCGTTTCTCGCTGTGTGAGCGGATCCCCGTCCCTAGCTCTCCCCCGCCCGGTTTTTCCGAGGCTTTCCCGAGGGCTGTGGTCCTGAGTCGTGGCACCCGAGGGCAGCTCCGCGACTGTCCTTGGCCATGCCAGTCCGGGACGCCGTGCCTCCTGATGGGGAGAGGAGGCAGCGGCCTGGAGCGCGCAGGACCCTGGGTCTGCCCCATCCGAGACCCGCGGTAGGGACCCAAAGTAAGGGTCTCGACTACCCTGACGGGGAGGGGGCGAGGATGGCAACCCTCCTTCGCCCTTAGGGCTTCTGCCCCTTTAGAGTTGGACAGCGCCGATCCAGGGGCGGCGGGGGCACCGAGAGATGAGGCTTCCTTTGGTGAAAACTTTATTCACTGCGCACAAAAGAGGCAGCTACAGGGCAGACCACCCTCTGCTCTGATTCATCCTTTACTCCTCCCCCTGCAGATATGGCTCTGGAGTAGCCATCCCGACGGCCTGAGAAGGGGGGTCAGGGCTGGACAAAGGGAACAGACCCCCAACAAGCCCATCTGGTGCAGTGGGTGGGCAGCACCGCCTGGGGAAGGAGGGACACACACTTTTGCCCACTCTTGTCTTCAGGACGAGCCCCAAGACCCTAGCCCCTTGATCCCATCCCTGCCTAGACCACGGAGCACTCAAGACACCCTTCCAGGGCTAGCGGATACCTGGCCCCGCATGCTTGACATCACTGGACATGAAGCAGGAGTGTCTCACGTGCAGTGAGCATGCCTCTGGTTGAGGGACAGCTTGGTGTCCTGGACAGCAACCGCGCTGCGGACTCTGGGCTCCTGTGGCACCTTCCAGGTCCTGTTCTCACAGGAGAGGAAGGACCAGGTGAGCTGCAGTCCTCACTGGGTCTTTGGTCCCCACATACCCACCCATGGAGCACCCACTCCCATCCCCAGCCTCACTAATTACTGGTCATCCCCCAAAATTCCAGATCAGTGCCAGATCTCGAGGCCTTTATCAGAGCCTGAAGCCAAGGGTCAGAAGCCCCCCAACAGCCCCAGCATGCCTCATTAGTTGGTCTAGAGGACCCTGCCCCCAACACCAGGCCTCTCCAGCTAATTGGGACCCTGAGCAGGGTCTCGCCAGGCCTCTGCCCCTAGTGGGGAAGAGTTAGGGGTGAAGGTTTGGGGGGGCACTCCCTGGCAGTGCGTTGGCTTCTCCCTTCCCATCAGGCAGGGAGGGCCCTGGGCCCGCACTCCTGTCCCAGCTATGTGGGGGACTCGGGAGCTCCCCCCAGAAAGCAGAAAATGATGGTGACCTAGGGACCTCACGTCCCCACCCCGAGCACCCCAGGGCATTGGCCAGCTCACTCATTGGGTTCCAGTGGAAGCCTGAGGCAGCTACAGCCACTCTGCCCCAAGGGGAAGGGGCACCCGCCCAGGCGACAGTGCCGGGGGTAAGGGGCCCCATGGCATCTCTAGGCCTGAGGACAGCTGGGTGACCAATCCGCCAGTCCGCTCCAGAGAAGAGAGGAGTCTTCAGGGCTTTGTGCCGCTGGCAGGGTGGAAATCCAGTTCGATCCAGCCTGAGGCCTCCCTGGGGAGTCTGGTGGATGCCCTGAGCCTGTTCTGGGGCTGGGGGCTCACCATTGCTGAGCTTTTCCTGGTCAGGGCAGCTCCTGGCCGAGTGGAAGGGCCAGCCATGGGGCTGAGGGCTCTGCAGTCCCCCTCAGCTGGGCATGTCGTGCGTCCAGGGCATCTTGCCTACTTTGGGCCAAGAGCAGATGAGGGTGGGGCGAGGGCTGTGCTCCAGGTGTCCAGGTGCGAGATCCGCTGAGCTGCAGCACAGTTCAGGAGGGCAGATGTGAGCAAGTCCTACTTTCCACCTGAGAGATCTGGGCTGATGAAGCCAAGGAACTGTCTCCAGAGACCACGAGGGGCCCCAACCTTCACCCCACGTCAGCCGTCACACCCACCTCTGCAGCTGCCCCTGTCAACGGCCGTGGGGACTCCCTCTCTAGTCCTATGGAGGCCCAGTCCTAGGGCTTGGCTCTGCAGAGGGGCTGGAACCCCACTGCTGCCAGCCACAGCCTATGAGGAAAGTGAAAGGATTCCAGCCCCTTGCCCCACAGAGACAGTCCATCTCTGATCCTGGATCCACCAGCCCTGAGAGCCCCCAGCGAGAGCCCTGGCAAGCTGCCTGCCCAGAAGTATGAGGGCTAATGGGGTTTGTGTGAGCATTGGGGCTGCTGTCATCTCTGCCCCATTAAGGGGAAAGGATGAGGGGGTTGAGGGTCAGCACCCACCTTCCCCAGGTAGCTGAGCATGGCACTGACGGCCTCCAGCCCACCAGAAAGGGCACAAGGCCAGGACCACAAAGACCAGAGCCCAGCTGGCCCGCCTTTAAGCCGCTGCCCACCATCAGCGTAGATCCCCCCTCCCATGCACAGGAACACCCAGCGCACTGCTCAGGCTTCACACATCCCAAAGGCCTTCCCTTCACTGCTCTCTTCCAGGGCCCCCAGAGGCGAGGTAGAGGCAGGACAGAACAGGCAGCCCCCCACTTCTGGCTGAAGCCAGCTTCCTGGGCAGCCCCACTGGAGACCAGAGGAAGGAGCCTGGGCTGTGCAGAGGTGGAGGCGGCTGCTGGGGTGCAGCCAGACTTTTCTTCTGGAGGCGAAAGAGGAGGGGGGCGTCCAGAGGGAGAAGGAGCACAGTGAGCTGCGTGGGCGGGTGGCACCCACCTCCCCCCCACTTCCAGCACTAGCACCTCCATTTCCCTTTGGGAACCCCCTTTTTCTGGCCTCGGTCTGTGGGGGTCTTGGTGGGGCTCACACACCCTGCCCAGGTGTTGGCGGGGCTCCCGGGCCTGGCTAGTAGGACCCATCGCCTTGACCTCGAGGCCTTTGCTGAGGTTTGTGGGAAGGGGAATTGCTCTGGTGGCAGGGGCAGACTTCCAGCTGCTGCCGCCCTAAAGATGTTGCATGGGAAGAGCCAGTCTGAGAACGAAGCCAACCCCTGAGAGAGGCAAGACACCTGGGCAGAGTATTTGCTCCAAGTGTCTGGACCCAGCCTTGCCTGAAGTGAGCGCACCCTCTGGACTTCAAAGTCACGGGAGCCAGGAAAGCCCCTTTTGTGTAAACATTGAAACTCGGGCTTTCTGATTACTGAAACTCAGAGTCCCATCGGATCTGTGGCCTGCAGGCCCTACGTAGGCTAGCCCCCGCCAACCTCACCAACTTCACCTTCCACCCCTCCACCCTGATCCCTTCCTTTTCCTAGAACTCCCAGGTCAATCTCTGCCTGATGGCCCCTCCCTGCAGATCTGAGTCTCCTCCCACGCCCTGGCTGGGTCCAGAGGGCCTCGGAGGCAGCAGGGTGGGCAGTGGGCCCCTCCGTCCCTGCCCTCCAGCTGTGGACTATGGACACAGACTAGCCCCAGGCCTGACAAGGGGCCAGCATGAAGGACAAGGGGCCAGCAAGGCACAGACCCCGGCCCATGGCTGTGAGCAAGAGCTGGGGAACCGCTTCTGTGAAAGGAAAACACGGTTTCCCGGTCTCCTGTTGGGTCAGTGGGGACTGGACATGGGAAGTCCAACTGGGGCTAGCCCTGAGGACGGGAGGGAGGCAGGGAGGGGAGAGACCTCTACGCAGCACCTGCAGTTCTGGCTGGAGCTGCCTTTTCAACGCACACACTTCACTGTCCGAAGCGCCAGTGTCCAATGGCGTCAGACATGAGCACCAGCTGTGTTGCTATTTACTACACATCTTCTTTAACTCCATTCACTTTTTCACTTAAACAATGTTTTTCAAAGGGAGATTTCATATCACAAACACAAATAGAAAGTTCCAGAAAAATAAATATCAGACAGTTTTCGCTTCTTGTGCTGCTTGGAGGCATCAGACTGATTCTAAAGCATGTCCCCAAAGCCTCTGTGGCCTTCATCCTCTCTGCACCCCAAATGCTGCCTGTCCCTCTGCTGTAACTGGAGAGCCACCCAGGCCTGTCCCAGAGCCCAGCAGGCTGCTGGCCCCCCACAGGATCACTTTAGTCCCCACTCCTACTGGGGAGGGGGCATCCAGGTGAATCCACCCAGGGCACACCCCTGGCGGCTCCTCTGAGCCCATTGTGGGGGCTCACGTCTCACTGTCGCAGCGAAACGCTTCCATCCAGCAGGGGAAGGCCACACCTTCCCAAAGCGACAATGGGGACTGCCAGACAAGGTGGTCCCACTAGTCAGGGCCTAGAGAGGGCAGCTGGGACCCTGAGCACGCAGGATCAGGGGACGTGGGGGTGACTGCTCTTTAGGTTG